TCAGCTTTAAACAGTACGCTTGGAATTTTATCCGCATTGTGGTCAGCCAAACAACAGACAGTGTGTGTGTAGCTTCTTCGGCTAACTTGGACTTGTGCTGGTCGTCTCGTCATATTCCTTCTGGCTCCAATGTTATATGGCGCAAAGAGCCTTGCTACCTCCGCTGCAACACAGAAAAACGTAACAGCTCAATGGTCACCAGTCAGCTAAAACAGCCTCTACTTCTATCTTGGGATGCTCAAGCCAGCTAACACCATTTAGCCGATTAGCGAACTAGCTAGGTTTATGCTTCCCCCCCCTAAACCAACGTAGAGGTGAATAGCGCCACCCAGTGTATTGGAATGTGTTCAGTAGCTCTGCATCAATCCATTATCCGGAATTGATTTGTCTTGGCTTGATGCAGAGGGTAACCAATCAGGCGTTAGGTTCCGCCTACCAACTTTTGATGGGTCAGTTTGACAGTTTTAAGTAATTCAGGAAGCACTCCAACGCAGGACCATGAAATGTAAATGTAAATAGTGAAATTATTATATATGTATTTTACATAAAATGAATCGGTATTTGAATTAATTAATGACACATTTAATAACACATTTATGTATTTAATTCTAATTTTAATTAATTAATGACACATTTAAGTAATTATTTAATGGTGTATTTATTTATTTAATTGTGGCACTTTTAGTCCTCCATACTTACATTCACCTTTTCATTTTTATTAAAATACTTTTCATTCAAATCATATGGTTTGGTTTCAATACTTTGTTGTGTCGAGTAAAACGTTGCTAATTATGCTGTGTGACCAAGGAGAACCGCTGACGCTGTATTTTCATCATAAAGGTTTATTCATAACAAAGGGTTACAGCGTCGATTTACAGATACCTGCAGATACCTGGAGAATAATCGCCCAATCTCAAATATGATTATTCTGTCTTCCTTTGTCTTAACTGTGGTATATATCCTATGTAATCTGATATGGGTGGTTCTTCCTACCAACCAATCCCCTGTCTCCACACAACAGACTTCCTCTGTTCTATGGGGTGTCCCCCTAAAACTACTCCACAAGATGCTCCCTCTAAGCTGAATAAACCTCCTCTCAGGTTCCATTTGAAAACGTTAGCAAAGTCATAATTCCTCAGATACTACAACTTCAAAACCAAAGGATATGTCCAGGTGGTCACAAAAATGGATGGGTGTTGGTTAAATTGTGATTTTAATGAAGCAGTTTTATTTCCTGTGAGCTTGGAGCGGAGCGGTTGGAAAGGATGTGGAGTGCTGGAGCGATGCGCAAGCACCGGGATTTCCGACCACTGGGATTTCCGACCACTGGGATTTCCGACCACTCAACTCTGTTCACACACTCTGATTGGCAAGCCAGAGTTTATATACAGTGGGGAAGAAAAGTATTTAGTCAGCCACCAATTGTGCAAGTTCTCCCACTTAAAAAGATGAGAGAGGCCTGTAATTTTCATCATAGGTACACGTCAACTATGACAGACAAAATGAGAAAAAAAAATCCAGAAAATCACATTGTAGGATTTTTAATGAATTTATTTGCAAATTATGGTGGAAAATAAGTATTTGGTCAATAACAAAAGTTTCTCAAAACTTTGTTATATACCCTTTGTTGGCAATGACACAGGTCAAACGTTTTCTGTAAGTCTTCACAAGGTTTTCACAAACTGTTGCTGGTATTTTGGCCCATTCCTCCATGCAGATCTCCTCTAGAGCAGTGATGTTTTGGGGCTGTCGCTGGGCAACACGGACTTTCAACTCCCTCCAAAGATTTTCTATGGGGTTGAGATCTGGAGACTGGCTAGGCCACTCCAGGACCTTGAAATGCTTCTTACGAAGCCACTCCTTCGTTGCCCGGGCGGTGTGTTTGGGATCATTGTCATGCTGAAAGACCCAGCCACCTTTCATCTTCAATGCCCTTGCTGATGGAAGGAGGTTTTCACTCAAAATCTCACGATACATGGCCCCATTCATTCTTTCCTTTACACGGATCAGTCGTCCTGGTCCCTTTGCAGAAAAACAGCCCCAAAGCATGATGTTTCCACCCCCATGCTTCACATTAGGTATGGTGTTCTTTGGATGCAACTCAGCATTCTTTGTCCTCCAAACACGACGAGTTGAGTTTTTACCAAAAAGTTCTATTTTGGTTTCATCTGACCATATGACATTCTCCCAATCCTCTTCTGGATCATCAAAATGCAGTCTAGCAAACTTCAGACGGGCCTGGACATGTACTGGCTTAAGCAGGGGGACACGTCTGGCACTGCAGGATTTGAGTCCCTGGCGGCGTAGTGTGTTACTGATGGTAGGCTTTGTTACTTTGGTCCCAGCTCTCTGCAGGTCATTCACTAGGTCCCCCCGTGTGGTTCTGGGATTTTTGCTCACCGTTCTTGTGATCATTTTGACCCCACGGGGTGAGATCTTGCGTGGAGCCCCAGATCGAGGGAGATTATCAGTGGTCTTGTATGTCTTCCATTTCCTAATAATTGCTCCCACAGTTGATTTCTTCAAACCAAGCTGCTTACCTATTGCAGATTCAGTCTTCCCAGCCGGGTGCAGGTCTACAATTTTGTTTCTGGTGTCCTTTGACAGCTCTTTGGTCTTGGCCATAGTGGAGTTTGGAGTGTGACTGTTTGAGGTTGTGGACAGGTGTCTTTTATACTGATAACAAGTTCAAACAGGTGCCATTAATACAGGTAACGAGTGGAGGACAGAGGAGCCTCTTAAAGAAGAAGTTACAGGTCTGTGAGAGCCAGAAATCTTCCTTGTTTGTAGGTGACCAAATACTTATTTTCCACCATAATTTGCAAATAAATTCATTAAAAATCCTACAATGTGATTTTCTGGATTTTTTTTTCTCAATTTGTCTGTCATAGTTGACGTGTACCTATGATGAAAATTACAGGCCTCTCTCATCTTTTCAAGTGGGAGAACTTGCACAATTGGTGGCTGACTAAATACTTTTTTTCCCCACTGTACATCCTTGGTCACAACCACAATCCATATTTTTTTGGTTGAGTTCAAGACAACTGGGAAGTCGGCGCTCTAGAAAGAGGCCAGTGTTCCCGAGTTTGAATTGCGAGTTGGATGACCGTTCAAAACTATTTTTTTCCCAGTCAGAGCATGTCTTTTTCCGAGTTCCCAGTTGTCTTGAACGCAATGAAGTCGGAGATTTCCGGGTTCCCAGTTGTTTTGAAACGCGGCAATATACTGTACATCATTGGTCACAACCAATGATTTATATAAACCCTGGATTGCTGATGCTATGTATTGGCCCATGAGAGGCTTTGTCGCCACCAGTTGGAACTCCCCGGTAGGAGCAGTGCTCGATAGGAATGAATGGAATTCTACAGTATTTCAATTAAATGATTCAAGGACAAAATTACATGTGTTTAAGTATTTTTTATTATAGTGGGGACATTAACATTAGTAATCCCCAAAATATATACTTTAAGGAAAATATTTGTATATTTTAAAATTTTAATTTGTATGTTTAGCTCACATAATATAATTTAAAAGTATGCATTAAGTTGTCTGTAATATAATAAACGTGGCAAAAACGAATGTAGACATTTATAAATGCATTTCTATAGCTTCCAGAATATTTTTTTTACAATGGTGTGGGAGTGTCAATATCGGTCATCTAGTGTATATATAAATCATTGGTCACAACTGATAGCGAGGACCAAAGTCAGAGAGGAAGAGGCGAAGCGAGAGGTTTTACTCGCCCCAAAATCTGTCCGTGTGCGAGATAAGACCTTTTTGTATGGAGGTCTACGAGAGACTGTCGAATTACTTGAGGCTCTATTTGATCAAATAGAAGTTTCGTAATGTTTAGGGCTGTTACAAATGTACTGATGTAAGTGGATACACGTGGCATTCCGGAAACTTTGAGAAAAAAACGACTTGTTGTTCACACACCTATCTGCCCTCTCATTGGCTAGAACGGTCCCACCTGATCTCGCATGCCTTCAATCACTGAGGACTTTATATTTCCATTGTCTGCTAAATGACTAAAATGTAAATGTAAATGTAATAATATTTGCCAAAGTGGATCATTGCTCCTGTTCACTGTAAATTGGGTTTGTGGAGAAAAATGTTGATTGGTTCTATAGTTCCTTGGATGAATGTTCTGTTAACATGACAATAAAGTGTATTTATGGCGTTTTTTAAATTATGGGTTTCATTTAAAAACTCTGACAGCAATGCAATACAACGCTGTAATTTCAATATTTGTGAATTATTTGAAAACTACTAGGCCGTGATCATCATTATAAAACAGACACTACCCCTTTCAAAGGTCAATTGAAAAGCCACACCTACTACACCTGTTGCCATATAAATTGAGCACATGAGAGAACTTGCCATTGAACGTGTTCAAAGGTGAGTGCGTACATTAAGCTGACACGAAAACGCAGGTGAACGTCTTACATTGACAAAACTGTTTCAGGGTTAATTAACTCCTCAAAAAGGACACCTATCCCACGACTGCAAAAAAAAATGGTAAGTACTTCTTCAAACGACTGATTCGTTAGTTGATTGGGTTTTTCTTTATATAATTGTACTTCCACTACCCCTAATTTTCTATACTCAACAGTTACTATAGAAACTACGTAAATTAAAGTAGACGAGGAGTTTGATTAAAATGTCGGAGGTCAAAGTTCCCTCTCCTCCCAACTTGTGTGCTGTGTTGGGGCTGCGCTTTGGTATTTGTATTTATTATGGATCCCAATGAGCTGCTGCCAAGGCAGAAGCTACTCTGCCTGGGGTCAAGCAACCTCAAGGCAGTTACATGCAATTTTTTAAAAACATTACGATACATTCTCAACAGATTTCACACCTCACTAAGTGGTAGAGAATCCTTACTGCTTCTCAACAGTGACTGGGCTCACAATCCCTCCTCACGACTTGATAGCAGTTCACACCCGTTCTCTGACTTTTCAAAATTATTATTGTTGGACTAAAGTTTTATTTTTTCTTGACAGAGGGAGTGCATTTCTGTCCACATTGGCCAAGCAGGAGTCCAGATGGGCAACGCATGCTGGGAGTTGTATTGTCTGGAGCATGGTTTCCAGCCAGATGGGACCATCCATGAAAACGCTGCTCCTCAATTGACTAACTCATCGTTTGGCACCTTCTTCAGTGAGACTGGGGCCGGGAAATATGTTCCCAGGGCCATCTTCTTAGATCTGGAGCCTACTGTTGTGGGTGAGGAATAGCAAGCTGCTTGTATAGAGGTGATGGTCTGCCCTAGCCTGGTCCCAGATCTGTTTGTGGTTTTACCAACTCCTATGACCTTAGGAGTTGGCTAGACTGCACACAGATCTGGGACCTGGCTCTGTCCGCCCCAAATGGCAAACAGTTCATGGTATGCGTTTTGTAATGATTCAGTGTTTGTAGCAGTTGACGCTGTTCTATCCTCCTATGTGCTATTGCATTGCTTTTTTATATTGTGTTCCTATGTGTATGTCGACAATTTGTTGTAGATGAGATCAGGAATGGCCACTACCGTCAGCTTTATCACCCTGAACAACTCATCAGTGGCAAGGAGGATGCTGCCAATAACTACGCCCGTGGCCATTACACCATCGGCAAGGAGATTGTGGACTCCGTCATGGACAGGATGCGTAAAATGGTGAGCGGCTCTGAATGTTTAAAGGGCCGCTGGGATATTTACCAGCCGTTTTTAGATCATTTTAAATTGATATACCCATTGACTGGTTCGCTTGGCTCAACTAATAAGTCCATCATAACCCCAAAAATATAATTACTGTTGAATGTTTAGTTTCAAATCTCTCAAAGTACCAACATTGGGTGAATTACTAATGCTAGTCTTCTGTCTTCAGGCTGATCAATGCACTGGACTACAAGGGTTCCTCATCTTCCATAGCTTTGGAGGAGGGACCGGCTCTGGCTTTGGTGCCCTGTTGATGGAACGCCTGTCGGTGGATTACGGCAAGAAGTCCAAACTAGAGTTCTCAGTCTACCCTGCTCCCCAGGTGTCCACAGCAGTGGTGGAGCCCTACAACTCCATCCTGACCACCCACACCACCCTGGAGCACTCTGACTGCTCTTTCATGGTGGACAACGAGGCCATCTTTGACATCTGCAAGCGTAACCTGGGAGTGGAGCGGCCGTCTTACACCAACCTGAACCGCCTCATTGCCCAGATCGTCTCCTCCATCACAGCCTCCCTGCGCTTTGATGGCGCGCTCAATGTAGACCTGACAGAGTTCCAGACCAACCTTGTGCCTTACCCCCGTATCCACTTCCCCCTGGTCACCTATGCCCCCATCATCTCAGCAGAAAAGGCCTACCATGAGCAGCTCTCTGTCCCTGAGATCACCAACGCCTGCTTTGAGCCGGCTAACCAGATGGTGAAGTGTGATCCCAGACGTGGCAAGTACATGGCCTGCTGCTTGCTGTACCGTGGCGACGTGGTTCCCAAAGACGTCAACGCAGCCATCGCCAGCATCAAGACCCGGCGCAGCATCCAGTTTGTGGACTGGTGTCCCACTGGGTTCAAGGTGGGGATCAACTACCAGCCCCCTACGGTGGTTCCTGGAGGAGACCAGGCCAAGGTCCAGAGGGCTGTGTGCATGCTGAGCAACACCACAGCCATCGCTGAGGCTTGGAGTCGTCTGGACCACAAGTTTGACCTGATGTACGCCAAGCGGGCCTTTGTGCACTGGTACGTGGGTGAGGGCATGGAGGAGGGAGAGTTCTCGGAGGCCAGAGAAGACATGGCTGCTCTGGAGAAGGATTACGAGGAGGTGGGGACGGACTCTGGGGACGCCTGTGAGAATGAGGAATACACAATCCTAGAGTAACTTCTAATAAAAACAAGTATTTTGAGTTCTTGTCATACTTTTCATAGACCGTTGCACAATTTAGAAGTTTAAGATGGCTTGGTTGGCACGTGGATGTTTTGTAACTAGGTTGACGGGTCACATGATGGTTTAGCTAAGCTTTGTGGGAGATGGCGTTCTAGAGCAAAATGACTTAAAGGGTAACTGCACCTGCTGCTTTTGGCCTCATTTTTGCCTTCCCCTTCATGCTGGCGGCCATGACTAAAAAAAACGAAGCCAACTCAGGAAGTGCAGTTCCCCTTTTTTAAGTCGACGGTCCCTCCAAGCTGTGGGCAGGCACACAGCTCCCCTCGGACTGCTGCGCTGATTAAATATCAGCCCGCGCAGAGAAGCACGAGATTGCACTTAACTAAAGTGGGAAACGCTAGAAAGTTAACACAATATATAAATGTTTTGCTCTGCTGTGGGAATTGCGCTCGAATCAACGCAATATTAGCCACTTTCAATGTAACATACCGAAACAAAATGAACTATGCAAGACTTGGTACACTAACTGCAAGAGATTTTCTTTAAGGCAGCGCGCCTTGCAGTAGGATTCTATTGCATGACTCAGCCACGTACTCTGCAGACCAGTGCACCATAACCAATCAGAGTAGCAGTAGGCCTATATGCAAATGTACCATTTCACTTTGAACTGAACAGTAGGAGCGGTCATGAGTAGATGCGCTTGTTTTGAGATCAAAGCGAGAGCTGCGCGTAGCCACCTGTGCACAGTTGTTCATATTCTTTGCTAGTTTAGTGAGTTTATTAGCCCAGTTATAGCTAATTTCTGGTCAATGTCTTAAAGGGGCAGTGTTGTATTTTTGAGACGGTCTTGAATAAGTAGCCAATGGACAGAGGGTAGCATAATTTGTCTGATTCTCTGTTAATGGTATGGGAATAATGAATTTTTATTTTGTAAAGTGGTTTCCTGCGTCAAACACATTTTCATTCACCTTGTCTGAAGGATAAGTGGATTAACAAGTTAATGTCAATTCCTGCATGTTTCTTGCCAAAAACAATCAGAGGGAACGTTGGCCATGACCGAAGCCATGCGTGTTGGCTTGGCGGTGCACCATCTGTTAAAACCTTTCCTGCAGTTGTGTCCCCTGCACACTGTTCTATTACTCTGTTTCCCCGACTTCCTGCAGGTTGAGCTCAATAACTACAGGTAGATGAATTGCGAGATGCCTGTGGAAGCTTTCAATAGGTTTGTAGCCTATAGAGTAATATGAGAATGCAATTGCTGAATTTATGTAGATATTCTGAACTGTTTCGATAACTATATTAAAGAAGCATTGTTTTTGTTTTGTCATTCGGCTACAAGATACAGTGCCCATCGTCGTTTTGTCAGCTAATGTGGCTACCTTGGTAACATGTCAGTGGTCATACCTTCCTGTGTGGTGGTAATGGGGTTACCTTGGTAACATGTCAGTGGTCATACCTTCCTGTGTGGTGGTAATGGGGTTACCTTGGTAACATGTCAGTGGTCATACCTTCCTGTGTGATGTCCCATATACAACAGGAGGTGTCCTGATCCCGGTGCAGAACACACAGGGTTTCTCCCTCTCCACTTTTGACTGATACAATTCGATAATAAAACACTACGAGTCAAAGTTGTCTGAAAATATTTTAGGCAGAGTACATCGGTATCAAGCCTGTCCGTCAGGACTACATCACATCTTGCAAGTCTCTTAAGTGCTGGCTCCATAGATGCATCCTGTGAACACATTCACTGTTCTAGTACCAATATCAGTTACTGTATGTTTGTCACCTATCCAATGTTGAAGTTTGAAGAGGTCAGACTAAACCTACCTAGTTCTGGTCTCCCCATCGACAACCTTTGGTGAGTAGGTGAGGCTGGAGGTAAGGTCTTTGCCAGCGCCCCCCCCCAATGATGGCTCCTCAAAGTTACTGGTAATCGGTCAAACGCGCACACACACAGGGCACTGATTACATTATCAATGGTGGTTATGATTAGCGTGATGGAACCAACCTGATCGCTGCATTCACCTCGCTATTTCACTTCAGATATATCATATGTGAAGTGAAATAGAATGGTTAACACAGCGATCAGGCTGGTTCCACCGGGCTAGGTTACGAAGGTGAATTGGGACGAAACTTGAAACTGTGTTGACCTTTGACCAGGTCAAATGTCACCAACCTGATTCAAGTGTCCTCCCTGTTCCATTTCTAGGAATGCTCACAGCGAGGGCTTGTCTGGTGTTTCTGAGGGCCCCTTTACTGGTCTTCTCTATGTTGCGTGTTCGCTTTCAAACGGGACATCTCTCGAACAACTGCAGCAGGCAATCCTCATAACGTACTTCCTCATCTTATGATGTGGTGTTGACTGGGAGGGTCTGTGACAGGGTGATCGAATAGACAGCCATGTGGTAAATTGCATTTTGTTCTAGAGAAAGAACAAAGCTTTTTGATAATGCACTTCACAACCAAAAATGACTCTACTACTTGTATCTGCTTGGCTGGGTAATTAACCTACTAGTTGATCAAACCGGATATTTTTTTATACAACTTTTCACATTACCGTTGATGAAGCCGTCTGTGTCATCGGGGCAATATGCAATCCCATCTGGTTTGCGCTTAGTGGGACTATCATTTGGTTTTCAACAGGACAATGACCTAACACACCTCCAGGCTGTGTAAGGGCTATTTGACCAAGAAGGAGAGTGATGGAGTGCTGCATCAGATGACCTGGCCTCCACAATCCCCCAACCTCAACCCAACTGAGATGGTTTGGGATGAGTTGGACCGCAGAGTGAAGGAAAAGCAGCCAACAAGTGCTCAGCATATGTGGGAACTCCTTCAAGACTATTGGAAAAGCATTCCAGGTGAAGCCAGTTGAGAGAATGCCCAAGAGTGTGCAAAGCTGTCATCAAGGCAAAGGGTGGCTACTTTGAAGAATCTCAAATATAAAATATATTTTGATTTGTTTAACACTTTTTTTGGTTACTACATGATTCCGTTATTTCATAGTTTCGATGTCTTCACTATTATTCTACAATGTAGCAAATAGTACAAATAAAGAAAAACCCTAGAATGAGTAGGTGTGTCCAAACTTTTGACTGGTACTGTAGGTCTGCCTTCCTTTGAATGCATTGGTGGCGATGACACAACAGAGTCCCATTCAATGAAGGGAAGTGGGAGGAGGGGCGATTTGAAGATGGAGTTTGGCAATAGACCCCCCCTGTGATCTGTTAACATAATTGTAATCCAAACCCTACCTTCATTTACTCATTGTGATGCACTGAGGTTCCAAAATTGATCCTATTTACCCTTTTGTAGTCAATTTTGACACTAGAATAAATGTTTCTGAGTCATAATCGATGCCACGAAGACCATTTTCGAAGGGATTAGTTGCTTTTCAGGAGCATTTGCTCTTTAAGCAAAAATATTGCAGATTGCAACAGTTTTGACGCTCTTCGAGTTGTTCTTCTCCCTCAATGTTGCCAGAATAAAAATGTGTAGGCTATGGTTGAAGATCATTTATCTGCCATTTTTTAAAGCATGCTGACCGATAACAGAAAACCGAAGACCGACAAATCAATCAAAATGGTTGCTTTTATTTAATTGTAAATAAGTTTTAACATTTTATTTTTTACAAAACAAATATTGTAGTGACTTTTTTTTTGCAGTCTATATTCCAAAAATAAAGATAACTATGATAAATGTAAGGATTATGTTTGACTGCTGCAATGAAAAAGCATGTCGCTGTATTAGAGGAAACATGGCCTTGGGACTGAGAAAGTAGTTTAATCACATGTGGTCTATGACACTCGAGCACAAACCAAGTAGTGCTGTGTGTGTACACTGATATCTATGGCTGTACACGTAGAATGGTTTTGATTTCAAGACTTTAGGGTGTATCATTTAGCTATACAATTCTCCTGATAGTTGTTGCATCCCAATTTTGTCCTGTTTCCAGATACTGTTTTACAAAATGCACCGTAGAGTCTGAGGGTGAACATGAAACCAGTGGAGGCTGCTGAGGGGAGAACGGCTCACAATAATAATGGCCGGAACGGAGCAAATGGAATGGCATCAAACACCTGGAAACCATGGAAACCATGTGTTTGATACCATTCCGCCTGATTCCGCTCCAGTCATTACCACGAGCCGCCCGTCCTCCCCAATTAAGGTCCCACCAACCTCCTGTGGATGAAAGCCTCTTCATTCAATGTTCTGTAATTCCATTACAGACCAAAGGCACATGGTTGGTACAGAGTAAATACAAAAGTCCAAAGACAAAAATTAAACATCGAAATTAAATGACTGATTAACATTTATAACAGAGAAGAACACTAACATTGACTCATTTTCAAATTATACACTTCTATTGCAGCTTTTCTATTTTCAACAAGAACACCTAATACTGAGTTCGTAAGTGCATGGCATCTCATGAACAAGAGAGTGACAAGTAAATCTAAGAAAGCAAAAGTTCTGCTACTTCTGTTCGTAAACAAAAAGTAGAAGACGGTGGTGTTAATACAACGGTCAGCTGGGTTATGAAGCAACGCATCAATATTTGAGCTCAGAGCAATGACACGTGATCTGATGTGGTGATTTCAACATTGAGGGTCAGACTAGCCCGATTGCCAGTTTTGTTTGTGCTGTCGTGCCAACTCCTTGTCACTCATTGTCATGTTTTGCTAAGCAAGAACACAAAAAACACTGGCACTCAGGCTACGGTCTGACGGTCATTATCTTTCAAGCAGGTCCTGTAGTCTTCAATTTCAACATTAAAGTTACTACACCATAGGACCATAGCAGTTAAGCAGTTGCACAAAGGCTATTATAGGCATTTATCGCAATAGAAGATGCCGTAAAAAAGAAACACATATAGATATCCAAGGAGCCCTTTGTCTCAATACATTTTCTAGAGAGACAGTGCTAGTAATGTGCTCCTACTAATGGTTCACAATAGAAAGCAATACACTATTTGGGTTTAAACATCACTGCAAAAAATGTCTACAATTACGGTAGTTTGGTACGACATAAATGTTTATATTTTGATCCTAAATGTTTGCCATAAGGATGACAACAAGCATCAAAACCTGAAGTTGTGGTTTTCATCAGCAGCTATGGTAATGCAGAGATAATGTAGAGATGATAGTACATTTAGATAATGCAGAACCTGATATGTGAGTTAAAAGTTTCAGTCCATTTCTGTCTAAAATATCAACCAAAACACAATGACAAATGGACGTCCCTGTATAACAGAAATGCAGTCTATTCTATTGATAAAAAAAACGAAAACACTATTCTGTAAATACATTCTAAAGGGATCTGATCTTCAAGTTACACATTTTAATAAGCCTTCATTATTTTGTTTCAGACAAGATGGCCCCCGCACTATATGGCACAGGAGAATTGGCTGAAGTGTCAAGCCTAACAGCGATTCAGTCGAAAAAAAACCTGTCCTTGTTTTACACAGTGTAGAGTGCCATTGGTTTGTTGGCTCGTTCACAATGGCGGCAATAAGCCAGTGATGTGTTTATTTTTTATTTTATTTTTATAGATCTGCCAGATACAGTGCATACTGTAGTAGGATCAACACTCACCTAATGAATGTACCCACTGGGCACAAGCGTCTCACCTAAGGAATGTGGGCAGATGTCACATTTGAAAAATCAGATGCTTAACACTTACAAAAATGCTCACTTGCAAAATATCACCTCATGCAAGTTCAACGAGATGGTGACCCATGTGTTAGGTATGGACGGTATTGTAGATATTTTCAATAACATAACAAACATAGTCAGACGTCATTTTTGTTCACTAATTTGAACGTATTCAACCAACCAAGTTTTGAAAAATCTATTTAAACAGTGCATGAACAAATAAAAATACGTAACATTTTTTAAAAATATATATATATATATATGAATCCAAATTCATTAAGAAGACACACTCATTACATGAATCGTTTAGCCTTCGTTGCTCAGTAAAGCATTTTTACTACTTCCTTGACCTTCTTTGACACTTATGGTTATAATAATCACTTTTGAAGCCATCTCATGATGCACAAGGTGCATAGTTTCTAGCATAGTGCCCCTGAGAATGGAATGATACCTGAATAATCTACACACATCTTTAGGACATATCATTAGGACACACACACACATAGGGCTGGTTTCCCAGATACAGATGAAGGGTTCAATTCAAATCAGCTCCGCTTTAGCCAACATCCTAATAGCAGTTGTTTTGACGGCGTCAGGGGTGGAACTGCATAGAGGGGTCAAATCCACAAGCGGGTCCCGGCGTTATACCTAAATTTGAAATTTCCATTGGCTGCACGGAGTCTCATTAAGAGAAATCCGATGCAGCCTTGTTTACAAGTTGGAACACTGGAATGTGAGATGGAATCTACACCTCCATTAGGATGATAGAAATCCTCATTATTTCGTTGAATGATTTTCAATTTGAGCTTCATTATTTATATACAGTATATCTATAGTGGGGCAGATGTGGCTTCATGACAACGATAGCAAGAGCAGCTGCTCACTGATTTGACAGCTCCAATGCAGTTCCACCTCTGACACCACCAAAACATCTGCTATGCGGGTGTCTGCTGTCGTCGGTTAATGCTTGATCTGATTGAATCTAGGCCTAAGGCTAGTCCCAGGCTTCATCTGAGTCCGGGAAGCTGTTCCCATCGTGTTCTGTTAGATTCCAAAAACACATTCCCTTTCCTCACCTTCTCTAATCTACAAGCAATGTAGTGATGGCTTCACAAAGCCCTATTGTTATCATTGAAATATACAAGGACAAGTAGGCTAACTAAGGGCCAGAGGGAAAGTAGGCTGACTAAGAGCCAGAGGGACAAGTAGGCTGACTAAGAGCCAGAGGGACAAGTAGGCTAACTAAGGGCCAGAGGGACAAGTAGGCTGACTAAGGGCCAGAGGGACAAGTAGGCTGACTAAGAGCCAGAGGTACAAGTAGGCTGACTAAGGGCCAGAGGGACAAGTAGGCTGACTAAGAGCCAGAGGTACAAGTAGGCTAACTAAGGGCCAGAGGGACAAGTAGGCTAACTAAGGGCCAGAGGGAAGGATGCACGTTTTTGTAACGGGATCCTACCTTCCTTACTTGCAAAATATTACAATGGGATTAGAAGTGAATAACAGGTATCAAACAGTTTGTATTTTAAAGAATGTTTGAAACAGCTGGTCAAATTGGCCATGTACTGTATGTCAACACATTTTGACAGGGACTTTCGGAAGATTAGCCCTATCTTGTGGGTTAGTCCAGATCCAAATAAACAAAGTAGCAAAACAAATAAATGGAGATATATCAAAATAATAGTCTAACTAGTGCCACAATGATTTACACTTCCATTGGAGGCACAGAGAGGCAGCCCTGAACAGCAACTCACACTGATCTATGTGATATACAGATGTAGGATCTTAATTTGATCACTCTTTTGTTGCTGAGAATTTTTCTGCACAGAAGGAAATGCAAACTTGTAGCGTTTTTTGACTTTTAAAAAGGCTTCTAAAGTTAGTAATTTACAATTTCAGACTTGATTTGCCCTAACGTAAAAATGTATCAACATAATTCATATTTCCTGTTGCTGCAGGATTATTTCCTGTTGTAGCAAACTGGTTCATATTAAGATTCTACATCTGTCTCTCCAGAAACCCTTCCTATTCCCTCCTCAAGACTTGTCAATAACGGGAGTCAAGGCAACGTAGGTGCTGCCATTTTGTTCTTCAGCCTCCTTGTTGCTCACAGGGGAATAAGATGTGTCTTCCTTTGTTGACTTCTATAGATGAAGACAGTGGAGGGATGGAGAAAATGGAGGATGGAGTAGAGGGAGAGAGTGGAGAGAGAGAGAGAGAGAGAGGAGAGAGAGAGAGAGAGAGATAGAGAGAGATAGAGAGAGAGAGAGAGATAGATAGACGAGAGAGAGCGAGAAGAGGAGGAGAGGAGGGAGCTACTATATCGTATCTTTTCTTTTTATATTGCTTTCGTCTCTCAGTCTTGACTTCGATCTCTTCTTATTCGTTCTCCTTCTATCTACTTCTCTCTCCTTTCTCTTTCTCTCGTCTCTCTCTTTCTTTTCTCTCTTCTTCTCTTTCTCTATTCTTTCTAGCCTACTCCGTCTTTCTTTTCTTCTCTATCTTTCGATCCTCTCTCTCTCTCTCTCCTCTTTTTCTCTCTCTCTTCCTCTCTCTACTATTCTTCTCCTCTTTCTCATCTTTCTACGTTCTTTCTCTCTACTCTTTCGTTCTCCATCTCTTCTCTCTCTTACTCTCTGCTCTCTCTCTCCTTATCTCTCTTCCTTTCTCTATCTCTCTCGTCTTCTCTCTGTTGCTTTCTACTCTCTTCTCTACTCTCTCTCTCTCTTCTTATTATGCTTTCTCTTCTCTCGTCTTCTCTCTATCTTTTGCTCTCCCTCTCTACTTTCTTTCTTGCTGCTCTTCTGCTCTCTCTCTTTTATTTCGTATTCTCGCTTATCCATGTGTCTTTTCTTTCTGCGGTATTCGCGCTGTTGTTTACTCCTTTCGTGTCTTACGCGACCGTGGGTCTGATCGTTTCTTCTGTTGTTTTTTTGTCTGTATTTTTGCGCTTCATTTCTTCCTGCTTTTGCTTTCTCTCTTTCTCTTTGTGAGGTAGGACGAGTGGCTTGCGAGCAGTTGAGGGGCTAGGGTTTGACGACTTGGGGGTAGCAGGTTTCTGCATGGGGGGCGTAGATGGAGTGAGGTGAGATGGAGGAGGTTATCGTGTTAGGCGTGAGTCGAGTGGGATGAGTCGAGGGAGGTAAAGTTGGAGTTGGTAAAGAGTGAGGAGGTAGAGATGAGGAGGTAAGAGTGAGGAGGTATAGATGGAGGTGAGTTAGGTTGAGGGCGGTGAGGGTGAGGGGGTAGGAGTGGTTAGTTGGTCGTGCTAGCGATCACCATTAACAAAGGCTTTTCGCTTTCATTTTAGATCCTTTCAGCAGACGCTCTTATCCAGAGCGATTTACAGTTAGTGAGTGCATACATTCTTTTTTTTTATTTTTCATACTGGCCCCCCGTGGGAATCGAACCCACAACCCTGGCATTGCAAACGCCATGCTCTACCAACTGAGCTACATCCCTCCCGGCCATTCCCTCCCCTACCCTGGACGGGAATCATAATCTTTCAGATACAGTGTTTGTTGTACAGCCGTGCATGATCTATCATCAGGGACATGTTGTACTGTATAAAGGGATAGCTGGACACAGATCAAGTTTAGTCCTGGAGAATTTCCATTGAGCATGTTTTTTTTTTGTTCAGGACTAGGCTTAATCTGTTTCCGGGAAACCGTCCCATAGAATTGAGCTTTCAGGATAGATGTTAATCTGATCGTTAACATACCAAACAGTGTTATTCAAAATGGTGCATACTTGTCGGTGAAAATACAGATAATGTAATGTATTATACAGAACAGAACATTTCAGAGAGGATTTATGATCAACATTGGCTGATTAAGAAGTAAAGGTATTAAAGTGGTAAATGTAAACGATAAAAAGGGGAAATGATGAATGATTATTAAAGAATTACGTTTAACTTCATTCTGAACAGAAACATAAAGGAAGCCCATGCATACATCCAGTACCGTTAGAATGGGTTAAGATTCACTGGTTAATACGGTCACTGAATCATGGTGGCATCATAGTTTTAAAAAACAGTTAGTTACATAAACATGTTAGTCCCTTGAAGTCAGTGTTCATATTTGCAAAATTAGGTCAATTTTGAGATTTATTTTATATTATGTTAAGTTTAATGTTATGATGCAGAATGCATTAAGACCTTTACAAAAAAAAAAAAAAACGTGCAGTGAAAGAAAGATGTTAAAAAAAAGGGTAATAAATCGTATTCTAAAGCACTAAGCAGCCACATGATGTTAGCCTAATAAAGAGAAATGGGAAAAGGAGTGTCTTGTGACAAACCAAACCACAGCCTTAAGTTCTATACTATTCTCTATTCTTCAGTGTCTCCTCATAGAAAAAGGCAATAGAACACTGGAATGGACATCGGGTACCTAGCAACATGCCTAAAAATCTGCCATCTTTTAGGGTTCATAACATTCTAGTCATATAGCAGACGCTCTTACCCAGAGCAACTTACAGGAGGAATTAGGGTTAAGTGCCTTGCTCAAGGGCACATCGACAGATGTTTCACCTAGTCGGCTCGGGGATTAGAACCAGCGACCTTTCGGTTACTGGCACAACGCTCTTAACCACTAAGCTAACCTCTAGTAATTTAATAGGATCTCTATGGGTTTAGTGGGCTTACCTATTCTGTCTACAGCGTGACTTTCACTTTCCCCTTTGTGGCATTTCTTGCTGCCTTTTTAAAGTACTTTATAGTTGAGGGCCAGGCCAGGACTTATTCTTGACCAGGAAAAGCTCTGGGCTCTAACTGTAGTTTATTGATTAGAGAACACTGTTTGTCCTGCTCCTCTTTTACAAAGGCCCTCAACACTCTACCTTCCCGGGTCAGTGGCCTGGCGTTGTCTATGCCGCTGCCACCAGAATATATGTGCCTGTGTGAGCGTGGGTTTGATTCAGTCACACTGTTATTCTAACACACCCTCTCCCCTCTCCACCTAACTTTCCTGTCAGTCTTTCACTGTTCTATATAAAAAAAAAATATATATATATATATATATATACAAAAGCAGAGGGACTACCCAACTCCTTAAGAAAAAGAAAAGAAAAGAAACATGGGTGTGTCATACCTTCTGTTTGCATTCGCGGACGATGAGGCCGATGAACACCAGCAGCAGGATGGCCCCCAGACCAACGAGGATGAGGGGGAAGTTGGACACCAGCGTCACCATCAGCAAGAGCTTGTGGAGCTTCGCGGCCGACACGTCGTCAATCACCACCGTCTGAAGAAGAGGGTTAATGGTGAATAACATTACAGGGTGGACACCGTAAACTCCCTGACAGAAGGACAAAGTCGTCATTGCAAATTTGCGATCAATGCTCAGATTTAAAAAATAACAGTCGATGAAATGTGATCTTCCTACCTCATTGATAAACATGACAGGGAAGATAGTCTCGTTCAGGGATTTGGTTTTCCTGTGAAGGAAATCATGAAACAATGGAAGGAAATAACATAGAAATCATTAAGATTATAAACTTTATTATTGCTACATGAACTTGGGTGGTGGTTGTGAGACAGAAATCATTCAACAAAGGAACAAAATCATACAGAAACAAAGACTACATGTCTTTAGCGATCTGAACGTGGGTGGTGGTTGTGAATTGGTGATACTCACGGGAAGCCAGAGATTCTGTTGATGAGGATGTTGACCTGAGCCCTCTTACTGGCTCGGATAGGAACACCAGTGGTCTGGACGTGTACAATAACAGATAACACACACTTTTGAACTGCAGGTGTAACGCTCAATGTACTGGATATACTAATGTACTATATATACACTGAGCTACGGAACTATGGAGGGTGGAACAGAGCACAACAGGACAGAGAAAGACCACAGGGGAGACTACAAAACCGGCTGCCCGCGGTCCCCTGTCAACCAGGACCTCTAGAGTAGAGGACGACCCTGTCAACCAGGGGTGTGTCCCCAATGGCACCCTATTCCCTATACTCTATAGTGTACTACCTTTGACCAGGGCCCATAAGGATCTGGACATAAGTAGTACATTATTATAATTATAATATAATTATAATAATTATATAATTAGTACATGATTTATGTCTAGGTTAAACAATCAATAATTATAGCCTGGTAATGTGAGAACATTATTTCAGCCTTCGCAGTTGGTGCAATTCCCTATTACACAAATGTAACACTATTGGCAATATTAAAGAGGATGATCTATTCGACCACCCCCCCCCCCCAGAGAAGTGAACACTAGAGGGTTGCGTACCGGGTTCAGGTCCAGGTAGGTCTGGTGGTGCTCTCTGACAGGATTTAGTCCTTCAATGGCGTTAGAGTACTTCTCATCTCCCAGGTAGAAATGAGGGAAGGACGTCACCACTGGAGCACCTGGAGAGACAGGGAGGAGGAGTTACGTGACTGGAACTCTGTGAAGACGGGGGGGGGGGGAGGAAGAGGAGGGGCTAAGATATTTGGAAGTGAGGAAGAAGTGGAATGTGATTGGTTCATCTTGTTAGCAAAATATGTCAAATGTGACTGAGCAGAAACAGAAAGTAACAACCCCTTGAGGTTTAGCTAATACTACAACAACACACAGATGACTCCTGGGTAGTTCTCAGCAAGTGGCAGAGCACTATAAACGCAGCTGTGTTGATTCAGGTACTCACAGCTACAAAAGCTTTAATACAAAACAGTAGTAGGCCCCTAACTTCCCTCCCCTACTATGAAGATACCTGTGTCTCTAACTTCTCTCCCCTACTAAGAAGATACCTGTTTCCTTGACAGAGTGTTGTGATAGGATCTGTCCCTCTCCCCTCAGAAGACAGCTAGTCCCTCTCCCCTCAGAGGACAGCTAGTCCCTCTAGTCTCAGAGGACAGCTAGTCCTCTCCCCTCAGAGGACAGCTAGTCCCTCTCCCCTCAGAAGACAGCTAGTCCCTCTCCCCTCAGAAGACAGCTAGTCCCTCTGTCTCAGAGGACAGCTAGTCCCTCTCCCCCAAGGACCCGCAGTCCCCTTTGCTCAGAGGACAGTAGTCCTCTCCCTCAGAGGACAGTAGTCCTTCCCCCCGAAAACAGCCCCCTCTCCCCTCAGAAGAAGCTAGTCCCTTAGTCTCAGAGGCAGCTAGCCCTCTCCCCTCAGAAGAAGTAGTCCCTCCCCCCCAGAGGAAAGCTTAGTCCCTCTCCCCCCAGAGGACAGCTAGTCCCTTCCCTCAGAGGACAGTAGTCCATTCCCTCAGAAGAAGCAGTCTCTTAGTTCAGAAAACAGCTAGTCCCCCCCCCCTAGAAGACAGTAGTCTCTCTCCCCCCAGAGGACAGCTAGTTCTTAGTCTCAGAAAACAGTTTCCCCTTTCCCCTCAGAAGATAGTGTCCCTAGTCTCAGAGGACAGCTAGTCCCTCTCCCCCAGAGGACACTAGTCCCTCTCCCCCCAGAGGACAGTAGTCCCTTGTCTCAGAGGAAGCAGTCCTCTCCCTCAGAGGACAGCTAGTCCCTTTTCCCCCAGAAGACAGCTTAAATCCCCCTTCCCTCGAAGACAGCTAGTCCCTCTAGTCTCAGAGGACAGCTAGTCCCTCTCCCCTCAGAAGACAGCTAGTCCCTCTCCCCTCAGAGGACAGCTAGTCCCTCTCCCCTCAGAGGACAGCTAGTCCCTCTCCCCTCAGAGGACAGCTAGTCCATCTCCCCTCAGAAGACAGCTAGTCTCTCTAGTCTCAGAAGACAGCTAGTCCCTCTCCCCTCAGAAGACAGCTAGTCTCTCTACCCTCAGAGGACAGCTAGTCCCTCTCCCCTCAGAGGACAGCTAGTCCCTCTCCCCTCAGAGGACAGCTAGTCCCTCTAGTCTCAGAGGACAGCTAGTCCCTCTCCCCTCAGAGGACAGCTAGTCCCTCTCCCCTCAGAGGACAGCTAGTCCCTCTCCCCTCAGAGGACAGCTAGTCCCTCTAGTCTCAGAGGACAGCTAGTCCCTCTCCCCTCAGAGGACAGCTAGTCCCTCTCCCCTCAGAGGACAGCTAGTCCCTCTCCCCTCAGAGGACAGCTAGTCCCTCTCCCCTCAGAGGACAGCTAGTCCTCTCCCCTAGTTCAGGGACAGCTAGTCCCTCTAGCCTCAGAGGACAGCTAGTCCCTCTCCCCTCAGAGACAGCTAGTCCCTCTCCCCTCAGAGGACAGCTAGTCCCTCTCCCCTCAGAGGACAGCTAGTCCCTCTAGTCTCAGAGGACAGCTAGTCCCTCTCCCCTCAGAAGACAGCTAGTCCCTCTCCCCTCAGGGGCGCCATTTGGAGACATCCCTGGTGTCTGAGCTGGAGAGTCCAGGGGATTCTGTTTTCGTTACAATACGTGTGGGGGAAGTAGAACAGAGGTGATGTTTTTTTTACTCCAGTGTTTGGCAACAGTAAGCTGTGACAACAGTCACCTGACGGAGAGGGCGTTAGCATGCTAACACACACAACTTCATAACTCAAGGTGCGTCGCAAATGGTACCCTATTCCCTATATAGTGCACTACTTTTGACCAGAGCCCTATGGGAAGTGGAGTAGTGCTCTACATAGGGAATAGGGTGTCATTTGGGACACAGACAAGGTCAAATACCTACGCCGCCCCCCCCCCTCACTTCCCCTGTCCTTGCCTCGTGATCAGCATATGAACTAAACAGAAGTAGGGGAACGCTCACAGGTTTATTATGGTGGACAGACAGGGTTCAAATACTATTTGAAAGCTTTCAAATACTTGACCGTTTGCTCTAGCCTGCCTGATCGGCAATTCTATTGGTCCCATTAAAGAGATACTTCGGGGGGCCATTATGTACTTCCCCGGAGTCAGATGAACTTGTGAATACCCTTTTTATGTCTCTGTGTGCAGTTTGAAGGAAGTTGCTAGCAAATACAATATACTTCCACTTATTGCGCTAATGCTAGTTAGCATTGGCTCGCGAAACTACCTCTAACTTCCTTCATGCTGGATGCAGAGACATAAAAATGGTATCCACGAGTTCATCTGACTCTGGGGAAGTAGATAAAATCTGAAGTATCCCTTTAAGCCAGGCAAACTCAATCAAGCCCAGATAAAGTATTTTGAATTATTTCAAATAGCATTTGAACCCAGGCCTGATGGTGAACGACGCCTATCCACACACGGATCAATTAAAGGGTTTCCTCTCTTAAACGTGGACGAGTGAGTGAGTGAGTGAGTGTGTGAGTGAGTGTGTGAGTGAGTGTGTGAGTGTGTGAGTGAGTGAGTGAGTGAGTGAGTGAGTGAGTGAGTGAGTGAATGAGTGAGTGAGTGTGTGTGTGAGTGAGTGTTTGTTTCCTTTGGTATGGCAACCTTGGCAACCTTGGCTTGGCAACCCACTAATGCGTTTCAGTAAATGACTGGTCGTAAATCACCAGGGAGACTCTAACTGGGACACAACCAGGGACACGAGGGCACCCTATTCCCTATCCAGTGCACTACTATGGGCCCTGGTCAAAAGTAGTGCACTATGTAGGGAATAGGGTGCCATTTGGGCTCTGGTCAAAAGTAGTGCGCCCTAGAAGATTAGGAGGACTAACTTCTCCTGCTCATTCCCAGACCACAGTCAGGTGACAGGGCTTATCGCCTTCCCGCCTACTCAGTTAGTGGGCCAGGCCTGGTCAGATGATTCTGGGGGGGTAGAGTCAGGGGGGAGCTGAATCACATGGGTGTATGTATTTGTGTGTGTGTGTCTGTGTGTTTCTGTGTGTGTTGGTGTGTGTCTGTGTGTGTGTGTGTGTATTCTGGGGTTTGGGAGGACAACAAAGGACATTGGGGAGATATGAGTGAGATTGTAACGTTACATCATTTTTATACGTATGAAATATTAAACCAATCAATATATTTATTATATTTCAATTTGTCTCCTGAACTGACCTGAAGTTAAATGAATAGTTCCTATTACACCTGGCTGAAATGCAGAGAGGTGGAGAGGTGGAGAGGAGAGGTGGAGAAGTGGAGAGGAGAGGAGGAGAGGAGAGGAGGAGAAGTGGAGAGGAGAGGTGGAGAGGAGAGGAGGAGAGGTGGAGAGGAGAGGGGGAAAAAGAAGGGGAGGGGAAGGGGGGACCAAGAGGAGAGGAGGAGAGGAGGGAGAGGAGAGGAGGGGAAAGAGGAGAGGAGAGGAGAGGAGAGGGAGGGGAGAGGAGGAGGAAGAGGAGAGGAGAGGAGAGGAGAGGAGAGGAAAAGGGAGAGGGGGGAGAGGAGAGGAGAGGAGGGGAGGGGGGGGGAGAGGAGAGGAGGGGGGGGGGGGGGAGGAGAGGAGGAGAAGTGGAGGGGAGGGAGGAGGAGAAGAGGAGAGGAGAGGAGGAGAAGTGGAGAGGAGAGGTGGAGAAGTGGAGAGGAGAGGAGGAGAAGTGGAGAGGAAGGAGGAGAGGGGAGAGGTGGGGAGGAGAGAGTGGAGAGGAGAGGACGAGGAGGAGAGGAAGAGGAGAGTGGACGAGGGAGGAGGAGAGGAGGAGAAGTGGAGAGAGAGAGAGAGGGGAGAAGGGAGAGAAAGAGGAAGGAGAGGTGGAGAGGAGAGGGGAGAAGGGAGAGGAGAGAGTGAGAAAGGGAGAGGAGAGGGTGGAGAGGGAGAGGAGAGGAGAGAGGAGGGAGAGGAGAGGGGGAGATGGAGAAGGAGGAGAGAAGAGGAGAGTGGAGAGGAGAGGAGAGGGGAGAGAAGTGGAAGGAGAGGAGAGGAGGAGAGTGGAGAGGAGAGGAAGGAGAGAAGGAGAAGTGGAGAGGAGAGGAGAGGTGGAGAAGTGGAGAGGAGAGGTGGAGAGGAGAGGAAGAGAAGGGGAGAGGAGAGGAGAGGTGGAGAAGTGGAGAGGAGAGGTGGGAGAAGTGGAGAGGAGAGGAAGAGAAGTGGAGAGGAGAGGAGAGGTGGAGAAGTGGAGAGGAGAGGTGGAGAAGTGCAAAGAGGAGGAGAAGTGGAGAGGAGAGGTGGAGAAGTGGAGAGGAGAGGAGAGGTGGAGAAGTGGAGAGGAGAGGTGGAGAATTGGAGAGGAGAGGAGAGGTGGAGAAGTGGAGAGGAGAGGTGGAGAAGTGCAAAGAGGAGGAGAAGTGGAGAGGAGAGGTGGAGAAGTGGAGAGGAGAGGTGGAGAAGTGGAGAGGAAAGATGAGGTGGAGAGGGGAGGAGAAAGAGGTGGAGAAGGGAGAAGGGATGAGGAAGTGGAGAGGGCGAGGGAGAAGTGGAGAGGAGAGGAGGAGGTAGAGAGGTGGAGAGGAGGAGGTGGAGGAGGGGAGAGGAGAGAGGTGGAGAGAGGAGACGGAGAGGGGAGGAGGAGGAGGGAGAGAGGAGGGAGAGAGGAGGGAGAGGAGGAGGTGTAGAGAGGAGGAGGAGAGGGAGGAGGAGGAGGGAGAGGAGAGGTAGAGAGGTGAGAGAGGAGAGGAGGAGGAGTGGAGAGGAGAGGAGGAGGAGAGGTGGAGAGTGAGAGAGGAGAGGAGGAGGAGTGGGAGAGGAGGAGGTGTGGAGAGGAGGAGGTAGAGAGGTGGAGAGGAGAGGTGGAGAAGTGGAGAGGAGAGGTGGAGGAGTGGAGAGGAGGAGGTAGAGAGGTGGAGAGGAGGAGGTAGAGAGGTGGAGAGGAGGTAGAGATAGACAGATAGGTGGAGGTGGAGGTGGAGGTGGAGGTGGAGGTGGAGGGGTGGAGGTGGAGGTGGAGGTGGAGGTGGAGGTGGAGGTGGAGGTAGATGTGCACCTACCTTTTCGGCATACGCTGACTTTGAGCAAGCCGGTACCCAGGCACTCTTTGGGGGAGACACAGAATCCTTCGTTGGCTGGGTTCTCCTCCTTGCTGGCCAGGACATCACGAGGAGGGGTGAAACGATACGCTGGGAGCCCCTTCACCCACACATCCTTCTCAAACTCCATGAAGATGGACCTGAGGATCACAACAAACAATAAATAAATCAAATAATCCACCAACCAACCAAACAAACAACCAAACCATGAGGTTACAAAGAACTGAGAAATGTTACCGTTTTTAGATTCATATTTCATACTTTATACAGTTCCTACTACTTTCCATTTCAATTCAGGAAGGAAACTGAAATTCCTGTCACGGTTTCGGCCGAGGCTGCCTCTCTTCCTTGCTCGGGCAGGCTTCGGCGGTCGTCGTCTCCGGAGTACTAGCTGCCACCGTTGTATGTTTCGATGTTCGTTTGGTTTCGTCTTGATGTTGTACACCTGTTATCGTTTAGCGTTCATTATTTGTCCTATAAGTTCTCGTTGTGTTTGTCATGTGTTGTGTGTGATTGCGCCACTGTTGGTTGTCTGTGCTTCGTTGTTTTCCTCCTCTGTTTGGGAGGGTTCTCGCACATGTTAGTGCGCATTTTGTTTTACGCCTGTGTGCGTATTTTCTCGCCTCCGGGCTCTTTGGCTCGTGTTCTAAGTGTTTGTTCACTAAAGTCTTTTGGACTAAGTTTCTGCGTCCTGCGCCTGATTCCTGCACCACACCCACCTACAGCACCCGTTGTCAATTCCGAATGGAACTGACCCAAACCCTGCTGGTACCTCTCGTTGATCATTATGTCGTTCCCCTAATCTAACAACCCAGAATCCCCTAATCTCACAACCCAGAATCCCCTAATCCCACAATCTCAAATGCACTAGCTAGCGAATTTAACTCTATTTACATGTGTTTACACCTTTTTTTTCATGAGATTAACATTTCCCTGATGTGGAACATAGTGCATAAACTTTGGAAGTTAAGTGAAATTGCAAAAGGAATTGACCCCCAAAACTAACACCTCCGGTTGACTTGCCCCTTGGATCTTTGGCAAAGGTCTTTCTGCTGACGCGCATCAGCTCTTCTCTAATACTCAAAACAATGTGGGTATAAACAATGTGTGTATAAAGTTTGTTGGACATGACTAATGACTGGAACAACAACTTCCTATTATAAATATGATACAAATAACAGGAAGTGGGCTGGGAGCCACTGGAAATAGGATGCCATTTGGGACGTAGTCAGTGGAAGGTGGGATGTCCCCTTTAGCCACAATAACACAGATGACCAGTCGTTCGGTCGCTGCTACTCATGTGACTAAGAAGGTGAAAGGGTTTTCCAAACATTCATTGGAGGCTTGACGAGTTCAAACTGTGCTCCTGATGAAAACGGCAGATGCACATGCCAATCCAGCAGATTCTTTCCGCCCACCCTCAACAAAGGGGGGAGGAAGTTTGTAGTAGTCGACTAGTCCCAGTTTTTTAGGTCAAGGTTCCCAGCTAAAATAGACCGCCCCCCCACCCACACACTCCACCAATCAACAACAAGGGGAGAGTCTCATATATTTAGGTGAAAAGTCAAATAGAGACACAAAGGGGTTTGATGGCCGTGTCAAAATAAACGCAAGGATGGGCAACAATTACTAAATACAATTACAAAATACAGATACAAAATACCATAAAGATCAATGTATCAAAATAAACTACAAAATACATTTGCAAGTAGCCTGGCCCGAACACCAACAACAATCTCAGTAACAGTTACAAAAACGTTTTACTTGCTATGACTGTGAGATGTTGTTGTTTAACTAACTTAGTTGAGCAAGTCACTCTGGATATGAATGTCTGCTAAATGACCAAAATGTAGGTGTGAAAAGGAACATGAGAAATGAACTGCAAAGAACACTGGGTATTGTTTCGGTGCGGAGTTCATTAGAATAATACTCAGCATGCTTTGCAATTGTTCAGTTTACATATACATTTATATTTAGTTCATTTAGCAGACGCTTTTATCACACCATAGTGCTATCAGACTTCTGATAACAATGCAGGGTGAAAGGGGAGCCACAAAATGTGAACCTCTATAAAATAAATGGTATAGAAAAGTATTTTGAAAATAAAGATTACAGTATTTAAAGCTAGCTGGAGCAGGGCCATAGGGAGGAAAAGCTAGCTGGAGCAGGGCCATAGGGAGGAAAAGCTTAGCTGGACGAGAGCCATAGGGAGGTAAAGTTTAGCTGGACGAGGGCCATAGGGAGGTAAAGTTTAGCTGGACGAGAGCCATAGGGAGGTAAAGTTTATTGGACGGAGCCATGGGACGAGGCCATAGGGAGGTAAATGTTTAGTTGGACGAGGGCCATTAGGGGACGGTAAAGCTAGTTGGACGAGGGCCATTAGGGAGGGTCAAGTTTAGTTGGACGAGAGCCATAGGGAGGTAAAGTTTAGTTGGACGAGAGCCATAGGGAGGTAAAGTTTAGCTGGACGAGAGGGCCATAGGGAGGTAAAGCTAGTTGGACGAGAGCCATAGGGAGGTAAAGTTTAGCTGGACGAGGGCCATAGGGAGGTAAAGTTTAGCTGGAGCAGGGCCATAGGGAGGTAAAGCTAGTTGGACGAGAGCCATAGGGAGGTAAAGTTTAGCTGGACGAGGGCCATAGGGAGGTAAAGTTTAGCTGGGAGCAGGGGCCATTAGGGATGGGGTAACGCTAGTTGGACGCGAGCCAATTAGGGGTTTAACGTTTAGTTGGACGAGAGCCATAGGGAGGTAAAGTTTAGCTGGACGAGGGCCATAGGGAGGTAAAGCTAGTTGGACGAGGGCCATAGGGAGGTCACTTGCATATAGTCTGTGTTCATATGTGTAAGTTATCAGGAGGTTATGATGATAACCATCTCACAAGATCCCTGCCATGTGGACATATTATACCCCTGACACTAATAAAATATTTCCTTCCCCTTCTGCTGAGGCGAGGTTGTAGGGCCCAGAATAACCCACTACCTCATCAGCACGCACATCATAACCATGTGAAAGGTCAAGAGAAAACAGGCCATTGCTCAATATGAAACATTGCTGTTCTAGTGAGATCCTTTTAACACAGTGAAACTGTACTGAACAGTAAACTTAAAGTGGTGCATTTGTTTTCAGTGGCCTTTGATCTACTGTTTAGCAAGGTTGTTTGGGGACAATTCCATTTCAATTAATGAAGTAAGTACAAGCTTTCATTGCTTTTATTAAATGAGGAATTGGAACTGGCCCAAATCCTACCGTTTAGTAAGGGTTCTGTTCTGTTCTGACATGATCTGCCCTCTGTACTGCTCCTGAACAGGTCAGTGGTGAAGACCCGTTCCTTCTTGGACACCACCCCACCCCCCCAAAAAAAAAACGAAGAAAAAAAACATTGTAAAGTGGTTATCCCACTGGCTATAAGGTGAATGCACCAATTTGTAAGTCGCTCTGGATAAGAGCGTCTGCTAAATGACGTAAATGTAAATGTAATGTCCCACTACCTCATCAGCACTCACATCCCAACCAGCTGAAAAGTCAACCATGAGGAGAGCTCTATCAGGCCATTGCTCAATGAGGAACATTTGGTGAGAGACTGAGAGACAACGTTCTTGTGGGATCCTTCTACCACAAGGAGACCGTGTGCAGTGGACATTCCCAATACCCTTTGATATTATTTAGCAGGGTTGCGGGGTTCAAATCCATTTCCTTATGTAAAAGCTATACTTCCTGAATTGACTTGCATTGAAATGGAATCCCTGTTTAAAGTGGTGTGTTTTAGTGACCTTTTGACATGACTGTTTCACCTGTACTCCGTTTTTTTCCCCCCTGTGCTGTAGCCTACCTGCACAAGTCAGGACTGAAGATGTACAGTCTCTCGGTCTTGGACAGCAGGGGGTGGAAGGCGCTGCCGTCGGTACCGTTGATCATGTTACTCTGCTCAGACGTCCACAGGCTCAGTTTGCTGAAACACGAGATTTAGTTCTAAATGTAACTCAATTAAATTACTATATTTTACAATACCTTATAAAAATACAAAAGCACCATCTAGCCCAAACGCTTGATTGTTTAGGCTCATATGACTTAAATAATGTTTAATACAAGGTTTTGTGCTTTATCTAATCAAAGGGGGAAGGAAAGGGTGCTGCCTGTGACATACTGAGTGTATCACAGTCTAGCAGGACGTGAGAAGTTAGCTGACTAGAAGTTCTCATTTAGTATTTTCTAACAAGGCCAGATACCAGGATGTGGCAAGCACACAGCTCTGTGTTCTGGCTAGGCTAGGGGCCTCTGGGGAGTCTCTCTCTCTCTCTCTCTCTGGTGCTGCAGACTCCTGGCGCGCATCCTAAATGGTACCCTATTTCCTATATAGAGCACTACATAGGGGGGACCTGGTCAATAGGGGCTCTGGTTAAAAGTAGTGCACTACATAGGGAATAGGGTGCCGTTTGGGGACGCAGCCCCTGTCCTCTGTTACTGTCTGGCAGTGTGAAGAATGTCTTAGGAAACCAGTGGACTGTTCTGTTCCAGTCTTTTACACCAAAGAGTTACTCAATGACGGGGTTTCTCATCATCAAATAAAAAATGTAAATCTAGGGTGTGTTCGGAGGAGATGACTCCAGTATGTGCTGTAGCAGGCAGCATATTTTGGAGTCACTTTCATATGAGGAAATTTACTAATGAGGATCCAGCACTTTTTTTTTTGGAAGAATGATCCGTGAGTGAGCGTCACGTTGTCTATTATCTAAGTTACAACACAAAAAAACATGTGTGTCATCACGGGCCAATATGTTTCAGTACCTTTCTCCTTTAAATGTGGCTACCCTGCCGTAGTCCATGAAGTCTGCCTCCCCGGTATGATAAACAAATTCACCATCATTGCTTCCATTTTTCTGCAGAGTGGGGGGAAAAAAATGAAAATAATTTGAAAGTTTTTACAGTTGAAGTCTGAGCCCTTTATGTCCCTACCAGTCTAGTGTTGCACTCGCTAATGTTTCACAATGTATTTCTTTGTAGGCTTTAGCCTTGAAATAATTGAAATAATTGAAATAATATAGCCTAAATAACTCATTCTTGTTCCTTCTTCGGCTCCCTGTCTGACTCCTGACCTATTTTGAGTGTTTATACAGTTGAAGTCTGAAGTTTACATACACCTTGGCCAAATACATTTAAACTCTGTTTTTCACAATTCCTGACATTTAATCCTAGTAAACATTCCCTGTCTTAGGTCAGTTAGGATCACCACTTTATTTTAAGAATGTGAAATGTCAGAATAATAGTAGAGAGAATGATTTATTTAAGCTTTTATTTCTTTCATCACGTTCCCAGTGGGTCAGAAGTTTACATTACACTCAATTAGTATTTGGTAGCATTGCCCTTAAATTGTTTGACTTGGGTCAAACGTTTCGGGTAGCCGTCCACAAGCTGCCCACAATAAGTTGGGTGAATTTTGGCCCATTCCTCCTGACAGAGCTGGTGTAACTGAGTCAGGTTTGTAGGCCTCCTTGCTCGCACACGCTTTTTCAGTTCTGCCCACACATTTTCTATAGGATTGAGGTCAGGGCTTTGTGATGGCCACTCCAATACCTTGACTTTGATGTCCTTAAGCCATTTTGCCACAACTTTGGAAGTATGCTTGGGGTCATTGTCCATTTGGAAGACCCATTTGCGACCAAGCTTTAACTTCCTGACTGATGTCTTGAGATGTTGCTTCAATATATCCACATAATGTTCCTTCCTCATGATGCCATTTATTGTGTGAAGTGCACCAGTCCCTCCTGCAGCAAAGCACCCCCACAGCATGATGCTGCCACCCCCGTGCTTCACGGTTGGGATGGTGTTCTTCGGCTTGCAAGCGACCCCCTTTTTCCTCCAAACATAACAATGGTCATTATGGCCAAACAGTTCTATTTTTGTTTCATCAGACCAGAGGACATTTCTCTAAACATTCCGATCTTTGTCCCCATGTGCAGTTGCAAACCGTAGTCTGGCTTTTTTATGGCGGTTTTGGAGCAGTGGCTTCTTCCTTGCTGAGCAGCCTTTCAGGTTATGTCGATATAGGACTCGTTTTACTGTGGATATAGATACTTTTGTACCTGTTTCCTTCAGCATCTTCACAAGGTCCTTTGCTGTTGTTCTGGGATTGATTTGCACTTTTCGCACCAAAGTACGTTAATCTCTAGGAGACAGAACACATCTCCTTCCTGAGCGGTATGACAGCTGCGTGGTCCCATGGTGTTTATACTTGCGTACTATTGTTTGTACAGACGAACGTGGTACCTTCAGGCGTTTGGAAATTGCTCCCAAGGATGAACCAGACTTGTGGAGGTCTACAATTATTTTTCTGAGGTCTTGGCTGATTTCTTTAGATTTTCCGATGATGTCAAGCAAAGAGGCACTGAGTTTGAAGGTAGACCTTGAAATACATCCACAGGTACACCTCCAATTGACTCAAATGATGTCAATTAGCCTATCAGAAGCTTCTAAAGCCATGACATCATTTTCTGGAATTTTCCAAGCTGTTTAAAGATACAGTCAACTTAGTGTATGTAAACTTCTGACCCACTGGAATTGTGATACAGGGAATTAAAAGTGAAATAATCTGTCTGTAAACAATTGTTGGAAAAATTACATTATTATTTTATCACCCACATGTCTTTAGGTGGCTGTGGCATCCCCCAGCTGACAAAACAGGTTGCAATGACCATTGACAATATGTAATGTTCTGTATCTATGGCAATGACATAATGACATTATAACCAGCTTTGACCACTGAGCCTCCACCTCTGAGCTTCCCTAGTGACCTACCTTATACATGAGGCCACAGTGACATCATTACATACCCCATACACTACCGGTCAAAAGTTTTAGAACACCTACTCATTCAAGGGTTTTTCTTTATTTTTACTATTTTCTACATTGTAGAATAATAGTGAAGACATCAAAACTATGAAATAACACATATGAAATCATGTAGTAACCAAAAAAGTGTTAAACAAATCAAAATATATTTTATATTTGAGATTCTTCAAATAGCCACCCTTTGCCTTGATGACAGCTTTGCACACTCTTGGCATTCTCTCAACCAGCTTCATGAGGTAGTCACATGGAATGCATTTCAATTAACAGATGTGACTTGTTCAAAGTTAATTTGTGGAATTTCTTTCCTTTTTAATGCATTTGAGCCAACCAGTTGTGTTGTGACAAGGTAGGGGGGTATACAGAAGATAGCCCTATTTGGTAAAAGACCAAGTCCATATTATGGCAAGAACAGCTAAAATAAGCAAAGAGAAACAACAGTCCATCATTACTTTAAGACATGAAGGTCAGTCAATACGGAACATTTGTTGAACACTTTTTTGGTTACTACATGATTTCATATGTGTTATTTCATAGTTTTGATGTCTTCACTATTATTCTACAATGTAGAAAATAGTAAAAATTAAGAAAAACCCTGGAATGAGTAGGTGTTCTAAAACTTTTGACCGGTAGTGTATGTAATGACTTTCTTGTGAGTGCTGGCTGTCTTTTCAGACAATTCAAGTCCAGTGACTCCCAGGCTACAGTACCCGAAATACTTATTTACAGAACTTAGTGAAGAGCTGAGTAGGTCAGATTTATCATTTTGTATTGACTTCGTGGACACCTACCTTGTACATGAGGCCAAAGTACTCGTCGATCTCTGGGTTAAGGGTGTGGAGACGGGACAACAGAGGATCATTGAAGCCCCACAGCAGCTCGTTCACCGAGCGTGTCATGAACATGCCTACTTTCAGGGAGTTCATCCAGATAGATACCATAGAACTCTTCCAGAAACTATCCTTCACCTTGTTCATCACCGCCTGAGGGAGAAGAAGGGGGGGAGGGGGGAGGGGTGGATTTTAACCTGAAAGCCCTACTTACTCAGCATAACCCGAAAACACTGTGAAAGCACGGTTACTCACCACAGCTGGGATATTGATGGTTGTGATCATGTCGACATCAGGATCACCTGCAGAGCGTTCTGGCAGGAACACAAATGTCTTGGGTTGGTAGGCAGCCACTCTGGTCCCATTATCTACAAACGTCACATTCTCCTTGGCCCTGTACTCCCTGGAACAGAGCAGACAAGGGGGAAGTCAGTCTCTGCAAACGTCACATTCTCCTTGGGCCTGTACATCTTGACAAAGCAACTGCCAAACTTACCCAACATCCACTTTTTGCAATATAATGCATAAATATTTCAACATATTCCATCACAAATCAAATGAACCAGACTAGGTAATTAGGTCAAGAAGCCAGATTATCCTGACAGGAAGTGTGCCAACTGTAAATCTGCTGTGTTTTTGCTCTAGCCATGGACATTGATATTTCTTTTAGAGAGCATTCGTTGGGTGCATTAACAGTGATAACCCACTTCTCTCATCAATGACGATGAAATGACGATCTACTTAAACATTGATTAAATATTGACTGGTTTTCATCAAGCTATGCTCTCAAGAAAAAAGCTTCAAACTGTAACTTGGTTCAGGTTATCAGTCAACCCACCAGGGTATTTACAAACAGAACAGGAACTAAATCATCCACTTGTATTGATCACATCTTTACTAATGCTGCAGAAGTCTGCTCTAAAGCTGTATCCACATCCATCGGATGTAGTGATCATAATATAGTAGCCATATCTAGGGAAACCAAAGTTCCAAAGGCTGGGCCTAATATAGTGTAAGAGAGATCATACAAGAGGTTTTGCAATGATTCCTATGTTAAAGATGTGAAAAATATTTGTTGGTCTGATGTGTGTAATGAGGAACATCCTGACACTGCACTTGAAGCATTTATGAAATTGCTTCTTCCAGTTACTCAAAGGAATACGCCCATAAAGAATGATGAACTGAAAAACGGTATGGCTGAGAGGGACGAGGCTAAGGGAATGGCAAATAAGTCTGGCAACACAGCAGATTGGCAAACATACAGTAAATTGAGAAATAACGTAACTAAACTAAACAAAAAAGATGAAGAAACTATATGGAAACTATATGGAAACTATATGGAATAAAGATAAATTATATAAAGAATGATAGTAAAAAGCTCTGGAGTACCTTAAATTAAATTCTAGGCAAAAGCTGTGTGTCTATGACGACTCAACAGTATACACGCCGGCTGCAACAGTAAAATAAATAACTGACACCCTTAACATAGAGCTCCAGTCAGTTTTAGAATGGGTAAATAGCAATAGGCTGATGCTAAATATCTAAAAAAAAAACTAAAAGCATACTTTTTTTGGACAAATCACTCACTCAACCCTAAACCTCATCTGGGTCTATTATTGAATAATGTGGCTATTGAGCAAGTTGCTATCATGGTCAAAACATATAGAGTCAATGGTTCCTAAAATGGGAAGAGGTCCGTGATGAGGCGTTGCTCTGCTTTCTTGATATCTCTGTCAACCAGACAGGTCCTACAGGCCCTAGTTTTGTCTCACCTGGACTACTGCCCAGTTGTGTGGTCAGGTGCGGCAAAGAAGGTCATAGGTAAATTGCAGTGGTTAAGAGCGTTGGGCCAGTAACCAAAAGGTCGCCGGTTTGAATCCCCGAGCTGATTAGGTGAAAAATCTGTCTGTGCCCTTGAGCAAGGCACTTTATCCTAATTGCTCCTGTAAGTCGCTCTGGATAAGAACGTCTGCTAAAATGACGTAAAAACAGAGCAGCAGTTCATTCGGAAAGTATTCAGACCCCTTGACCTTTTCCCCATTTTGTTACACTACAGCCTTATTCTAAAAGGGATTAAATAGTTTTTTCCCCCTCATCAATCTACACACAATACCCCATAATGACGAAGCAAAAACAGGTTTGTAGACATTTTTGCAAATGTATTCAGACCCTTTACTCAGTACGTTGTTGAAGCACCTTTAGCAAAGATTACAGCCTCGAGTCTTCTTGGGTATGATGCTACAAGCTTGGCACACATGAATTTGGGGAGTTTCTCCCATTCTTCTCTGCAGATCCTCTCAAGCTCTGTCAGGTTGGATGGGGAGTGTCGCTGCACAGCTATTTTCAGGTCTCTCCAGAGATGTATGATCGGGTTCAAGTCCCGGCTCTGGCTGGGCCACTCAAGGACATTCAGGGACTTGTCCCGAAGCCATTCTTGCATTGTCTTGGCTGTGTGCTTACGGTCGTTGTCCTGTTGGAAGGTGAACCTTCACCCCAGTCTGAGGTCCTGAGCGCTCTGGAGCAGGTTTTCATCAAGGATCTCTCTGTACTTTGCGCCGTTCATCTTTCCCTCAATCCTGACTAGTCTCCCAGTCCCTGTCGCTGAAAAACATCCCCACAGCATAATGCTGCCACCACCATTTCATCCAGATGTGACGCTTGGCATTCAGGCCAAAGAGTTCAATCTTGGTTTCATCAGACAAGAGAATCTTGTTTCTCATGGTCTGTCCTTTAGGTGCCTTTTGACAAACTCCAAGTGGGCGGTCATGTGCCTTTCACTGAGGAGTGGCTTCCGTCTGGCCACTCTACCATAAAGGCCTGATTGGTGGAGTGCTGCAGAGATGGTTGTCCTTCTGGAAGGTTCTCCCATCTCCACAGAGGAACTCTGGAGCTATGTCAGAGTGACCATCGGGTTCATGGTCACCTCCCTGACCAAGGCCCTTCTCCCCCGATTGCTCAGTTTGGCTGGGCGGCCAGCTCTAGGAAGATTCTTGGTGGTTCCAAACTTCTTCCATTTAAGAATGATGGAGGCCACTGTGTTCTTGGGGACCTTCAATGCTGCAGAAATCATTTGGTACCCTTCCCCAGATCTGTGCCTCGACACAATCCTGTCTCGGAGCTCTACAGACAATTCCTTTGACCTCATGGCTTGGTTTTTGTTCAGACATGCATTGTCTGTTTTTGCTTTTTCATTATGGGGTATTGTGTGTAGATTGATGAGGGAAAAAACCATTTAATACATTTTTTGAATAAGGCTGTAACGTAGCAAAACATGGAGAAAGTCAAGGGGTCTGAATACTTTCCGAATGCACTGTAGATACAGATACATACCTCTTGACTTTCTCCATGTTTTGTTGTGCTGCAGGCTGAATTCAAAATGGATGAAATAATGACAAAGTAGAAATGTTTGAAATACAGAAATATCTAATTTACATACAGTGAGGGAAAAAAGTATTTGATTCCCTGCTGATTTTGTACGTTTGCCCACTGACAAAGAAATGATCAGTCTATAATTTTAATGGTAGGTTTATTTGAACAGTGAGAGACAGAATAACAACAACAAAATTCTGAAAAACGGATGTCAAAAATGTTATAAATTTATTTGCATTTTAATGAGGGAAATAAGTATTTGACCCATCTGCAAAAACATGACTTAGTACTTGGTGGCAATCACAGAGGTCAGACATTTCTTGTAGTTGGCCACCAGGTTTGCACACATCTCAGGAGGGATTTTGTCCCACTCCTCTTTGCAGATCTTCTCCAAGTCATTAAGGTTTCGAGGCTGACGTTTGGCAACTCGAACCTTCAGCTCCCTCCACAGATTTTCTATAGGATTAAGGTCTGGAGACTGGCTAGGCCACTCCAGGACCTTAATGTGCTTCTTCTTGAGCCACTCCTTTGTTGCCTTGGCCGTGTGTTTTGGGTCATTGTCATGCTGGAATACCCATTCACGACCCATTTTCAATGCCCTGGCTGAGGGAAGGAGGTTCTCACCCAAGATTTGACGATACATGGCCCCGTCCATCATCCCTTTGATGCGGTGAACTGTAAATTGCTCTGGATAAGAGCGTCTGCTAAATGACTAAAAATCTAAAATCATGGCCCCAAACATAACGCTTTGTATTCAGGACATAAAGTTAATTTCTTTGCCACATTTTTTGCAGTTTTACTTTAGTGCCTTGTTGCAAACAGGATGCATGTTTAGTAAAAAAATTATTCTGTCAATTAGGTTAGTATTGTGGAGTAACCACAATGTTGTTCATCCATCCTCAGTTTTCTCCTTTCACAAACAACTGTTTTAAAGTCACCATTGGCCTCATGGTGAAATCCCTGAGCGGTTTCCTTCCTCTAGGAAGGACGCCTGTATCTTTGTAGTGACTGGGTGTATTGATACACCATCCAAATTGTAATTAATAACTTCACCATGCTCAAAGAGATATTCAATGTCTGCTTTTTTTTTAAAACCCATCTACCATTAGGTGCCCTTCTTTGCGAGGCATTGAAAAACCTCCCTGGTCTTTGTGGTTGAATCTGTGTTTGAAATTCACTGCTCGACTGAGAGACCTTATAGATAATTGTATGTGTGTGTATACAGAGATAAGGGTAGTCATTCAAAAATAATGTTAAACACTATTATTGCACACAGAGTACAATTTCATTTTTCAGCTTTTAATTTTTAAAGAATTTGTAAACATTTCTAAAAACATAATTCCACTTTGACATTATGGGGTATTGTGTGTAGGCCAGTGATACAAAATCTCAATTTAATCCATTTTAAATTCAGGCTGTAACACAACAAAATGTGGACAAAGTACTTTTTGAAGGCCCTGTACGTACAAGAACGGTACAAGAGGTCACACATAACATACTTCTTACTTGATAGGTCGATGTCCTCATTGTGGTTTTACAGACGTTTTTAATACGTTTTATGTACACAGTTTATTAGAATATTTATGAAATGCACATTGTTATATTTGGTAACACATGCTTATTTTCCCTCAACTCCAACCCCATTCGATGCATTGAACAGATGTGGGTGGAGCTATGTCTACATAAGGGTGCAAATTAAAAACTCTCACAAAAGCTCTGACGAAGGCCTTGAGGCCGATACGTAAAGCTTAATAAAGAGCAGTGATACTAGCAAGAGCAGTGATACTATCAAGAGCAGTGATACTATCAAGAGCAGTGATACTAGCAAGAGCAGTGTGCAGGTTTCTTATTTTTTCTCAGGCTGTAACACAACAAAATGTGGAAAAAGTAAAGGGGTTTGAATACTTTCTGAAGGCACTGTATGTACGTGTGAATACTTTCTGAAGGCTCTGTATGTACGTGTGAATACTTTCTGAAGGCACTGTATGTACGTGTGAATACTTTCTGAAGGCACTGTATGTACGTGTGAATACTTTCTGAAGGCACTGTATGTACGTGTGAATACTTTCTGAAGGCACTGTATGTACGTGTGAATACTTTCTGAAGGCACTGTATGTACGTGTGAATACTTTCTGAAGGCACTGTATGTACGTGTGAATACTTTCTGAAGACACTGTATGTACGTGTGAATACTTTCTGAAGGCACTGTATGTACGTGTGAATACTTTCTGAAGGCTCTGTATGTACGTGTGAATACTTTCTGAAGGCACTGTATGTACGTGTGAATACTTTCTGAAGGCACTGTATGTACAAGAGGTCACCCATAACATACTGTACTTCTGTTCTCTAATTAATGAGTTAATAATAACTCTATTATTATTATTATTAATGAGTCACTTTAAGTCTTCAAGATGTATTTATTTATTTATATTATATATACTTATATTTATTTTATTCATTTATTACATTTATTTATTATTTACATTTATTTGTATTCTAAACGCACATGGATTTCAGTTTGTATTAACTGCTATGTGAATAAAACTATGTGTACGGGCAGTGGTGTAAAGTAAGTCAAAATACTTTGAAGTACTACTTAAGTCGTTTTCTGGGGGGATATCTGTACTTTACTTTACTATTTACCTGTTTGACTACTTTTACTTCACTACATTCCCAAAAAAAAGAATGTACTTTTTACTCCATGCATTTTCCCCGACACCCAAAAGTACTCGTTACATTTCAAATGCTTAGCAGGACAGGAAATGGTGAGATTCATGCACTTATCAAGAGAACACGTGGTCATCCCTACTGCCTTTGATCTGGCAGACACTTAAAGCAAATGCTTTGTTTGTAAATTATGTCTGAGTGTTGGAGTGTGCCCCTGGCTATCTGTCAATTTTTTAAAAAACAAGAAAATTGTGCCGTCTGGTTTGCTTACAGGTGCAATATGCAGAAATCATTCTGCCATTTCAAAAATGTTCCAGCTGTTTGAAGCTGGTGTACAAAACCAAAGTTAAATATGCAAAAACTAAACTTAAGCGTGGGAAGCATGGAAATAGCTTCCATAGAGCAGATCTACCGCTTCTACAGATCTATAACACACATTTCTATGTTAATTTGGTCGGGTCGCCCAAAAAGTTACATACTGCAGCTTTAATATAAGGAATTTTAAATGACTTACTTTTACTTTTGATACTTAAGTATATTTAAAACCAGATACCGAATAAAAGTAAGATTTTACTGGGTGACTTTCACTTTTACTTGAGTCATTTTCTATTAAGGTATCTTTACTTTTACTCAAGTATGATAATTGGGTACTTTTTACACCTCGACCTGAGAGGACAGGCTTGTCTCCAGCCAGGAACTACCTGTTAGGTGTCTGTAGGTGTGTAGTCCTACCTGTATGTGTAAGGGCCGACCTGAGAGACGATAGGCTTGTCTCCAGTCAGGAACTCATCTGGGTTGGTGACGTTGAAGAAGAAGAACTGCATGAAGACGGGAGGAGGAGGGTTTTTCCATGTCTCAAACACACGGCTACCCTCCGTCAGAGTTATCTCCTAGAAACACAACCACATCAGTTAATATTCTCTTCACTTTGTCCCCAATCTATAGACAGATGCTGGGCAGAGCGAGCCAGCTGGTGGACGACATTAGTATCCTTTATGATGTCATTCAGATTGATGAGAACTGTTTGGTTGATCAGGTTTCCGTTATTAGTTCAATCAGGAGGGATGGAGGGGAGGAGGGATGGAGGGGAGGAGGGGATGGTGAGTAGGATTGAGTTTGGCGTGTCATGGAGGGATAGGGGGCGTGGAGGGTTGGAGTGGGGTTTTGTGCGGCGGTGGTTGTCGATTGGTGGCTGTCTTGTTGCGTTTCTGTGCTTGGCTGCTTGCGTGAGTCGTTTCTGCGTTCTGCGGTCTTCTGGCTTGCTTTCGGGTCGTCTTTTCTTCGTTTTGCTTGTGCTTGCTGCTTTTGGTGCTTGGCTGCGCTTGGTTCTGCTTTTCGGGGGGCCCGGGCCGGGGTGGGGCCCCTTTGGGGGGGGGGGCCTGGGGGGCTTGTTGTTTGGGGCTGTTTCCTTTCTGGGGGAGATTAAAAGGGGACCCTTTTTTTATTGGGGAATTTTTTTGGCCCAAAGGGGGTCACTGTACTTTAAAAGGGGTTTTTTGGTTTTGGGCGGGGCTTTTGGGGGGCCCTTGGGGGGGTTATTTGGGGTTAAAATTTTTTGGGCGAACCCGTGGGGGCCCCCGGGGGTAAAACTGGGGTGTGGGGGGTTAAAAGGTGATGTGTAAGGGTTTTGGGGCCCCCGTTTTTTTTGTCTTAAGATAAAATTCCTAAAGGGGGACCCCCCCCTTCCCCCCCCCCCCAAAACCCCCGGGGGGGGGGGGGGGGGGGTCCCTTTTCTTTTTGGGGGGGGGGCCCCCCCCCGGGGGGGGGGTTTTTTAGTTAGGGGTTTTTTTGGGGGGGGGGGGGTTTTTTTTTTTTCCCTGTTTCCTTTCTTGGGGGCCCCGATTGCCAAAAAAACGAAAACCCCCCTTTGACCTTGGGGACTTTTTGTTGCCCCCACGAGGTCAATGCTATTCTTTTTGGGGGTTTTGGGGGTTGGGTTGGTTTTTGGGTGGCCCGGTTGGGTTTGGTTTTGGTTTGGGGGTTAGGGAAAATTTTTGTGGCTGAACTGTGGGCCCCCCCCGTTGCTGTCCAAGCGGGTGTGTGTGTGTGTGAAAGGCTGCAGGGGTTTTCTTAGGGTTTTGGGGGCCCCCGTTTTCTTGCACTGATCTTAATGATCAACCTTTCCTCAGGCTGACCCACAACAGACAAAAAAAGAGAGAAGAAGAAGGGGAGAGGAGAGAAGGGGGAAAAAGGGCGAAAGGAGGCCAAAAGAGAGGAGAGGGGGGAAAGGGGGGGGAAAATTTTAAAAATAGAGGGAGAGGAGAGAGAATAGGGGGAAGGGAGAGGTAGGGAGGGATTTAAGAGGGAGAAATTTTTTTCCCCCCCCCTCCTTTTCTCTCTCTCTCCTCTCTCTGCTCCTCTCCTTTCTCTCTCTCCTCTCTCTCGTCGCTCTCTCTCCCTCCCTCCTCTCTCGCTCCTCGCTCCTCTCCTCTCCCCTCTCTCGCTCCCGCCCCTAGCTCTCTCTCTCTCCTCTCTCTAGCTCTAGCTCTCTCTCTCTCCTAGCTCTCCGCTCTCTATCTCGCGCGCTGGCAGCTGAGCTCCTCCCTCCATCGCTCTCTTTTCTTTCGCTCTCGCATGTCTCGCTCTCTCTACTCTAGTCGCGACTCGACTCTCTCTCGCTCCCCGACGCGCCGCCCTCCTGCTAGATCGATCTCTCTAGCCTAGCTACTCTGCTATCTCTCTCGCGTCGCTCTCGAGAGCGCTGCTCTTTCTCTCTCTCGCTCTCTCTCGCATCCCTCTCTCTCTCTCTGCGCTCGCCATATCTATCTCTCTCTCTCGCGATCGCGCTCTCGAGCTATCCTCTATCGACCAAGATAGACAAAGAGCCCACCACCAGGTCAACCTGAGAGATGGGGTGTGTGGTGGGGGTTAAGAGATCTCCTCTCAGCCTCTCCAACGACAAAACGTCCAGCTGAGTAGCTTGGGACAATGTGCCTGTCATCTTAGATAGAAGGAGAACAGACTGGAGTCCTCCAGGATGGACGATGAGAAGTTAACTATCCACCTACAGCATACCAGTATTCTTACAATTTTGTTATTTCTATGCCACTTTCTACTACGACAAACACACAGCGTTTGCTGGGGCAGATGAAACATTTATGGCTTTGATGTTTTTTCTTTGTGAGGACATACTTCTACACAGGCATGCTGCTAGAGGTTGAACCCAAAGTCGTTCAATACCATACGCTAGTCCTGCTGCTACACAGCCATCTCTAACATGTTGGGGGGCATTGTTCTGGTCTGGGTTAAGGTCACCTCTTCCCTTTACTACAGTGACCCAGATAGAAGCCGTGGAGCTGCAAAACACTTCAGGATCCGTGTCCCAAATGGTACCCTATTCCCTATATAGTACACTACTTTTGATCAGAGCCCTATGGGCCACTGGTCCGTAATGAGCGCTGGTCGAAAGTTATGCACTATATAGGGAATAGGGTACCATTTGGAATGCAGGCCTGCTCTCACTGTTACCCAATAAGCCTGCCTGCCTGCCATGCTCTGTGAAAGAGGCTTACCACACAAAAGAGGGTCTACCGCTGAGTTCTGTGGTTTGAGTTATGAGCTCGAATCTGTCCCAAGTGGCAACCTATTCCCTATATAGCGCATTACTTTCGACCAGCGCTCATAGTTGACCAGTGGCTCTGGTCAAAAGTAATGCACTATATATAGGGAATAGGGTACCATTTGGGATACAACCCTCTGTCCTGCCATGAGGTGATGTGAAGAATGGACTCACTCTGCTATTCCGAGAGGTCAGAGACAATAACAAAATAGTGTGTGTGTGTGTGCGTGTGTGTGTGTGTGTGTGCGTGAGTGTGTGTGTGTGTGTGTGTGTGTGTGTGTGTGTGTGCGTGTGTGTGTGTGTGTGTGTGTGTGTGTGTGTGTGTGCGTGCGTGTGTGTGTGCGTGTGCGTGCGTGTGTGTGTGTGCGTGCGTGTGTGCGTGAGTGTGTGTGTGTGTGTGTGTGAGTGTGTGTGTGTGTGCGTGTGTGTGGTGTGTGTGTGTGTGTGTGTGCGTGTGTGTGTGCGTGTGCGTGTGCGTGCGTGTGCGTGTGAGTGTGTGTGTGTGTGTGTGTGCGTGTGTGTGTGTGCGCGTGTGTGTGTGTGTGTGTGTGTGTGTGTGCGTGTGTGCGTGTGCGTGTGTGTGTGTGTGTGTGCGTGTCTGTGCACCTGTTGCATGTTTTTCAGCATGTTGTCACGGCCATGACTCACCATCATCTTTCCCACACCAACAGACAAAGAGGTTGAAATGGCGTCATCGGAAATTACAACCAAGTTACTACCTGGTTGCTGCCTGGTTACTACCTGGTTGCTACCAGCTCTGGTTGTAAACTGACTGGTTACAATGACGTTTCAACCAGTTTTGCCCGCTGAGAATAGTCTTGTTAATCTATCTTCTACACATTAAGGGGTGGTTTCCCAGAACACAGATTAAGCCCAGTCCTGGACAACATGCTCAACAGAGAGTCTCCATTGAAAGGGCTTTTTAGTCCACGACTAGGCTTAACTGTCACGGTTTCGGCCGAGGCTGCTCCTCCTCCTTGTTCGGGCAGGTTTCGGCGGTCGTCGTCCCCGGAGTACTAGCTGCCACCGATCTATGTTTCATGTTCGTTTGGTTTTGTCTTGATGTTGTACACCTGTGTCTAGTTAGTCCTCATTAGTGTCCTATTTAGTTCTCGTTGTGTGTGTATGGTGTTGTGTGTGATTGCTCCTCTGTTTTGGTGTTCTGAGCTACGTATCTTCCCTCCGTTGTTTTGGAGAGGTTTTCGCACATGTTAGTGCGCCTTTATTTCGCCTCCGGGCTTAGTGTTCTCGTGTACTACGTGAATAATTCACTAAAGTCTTTTGGACTTAGCTTCTGCGTCCTGCGCTTGATTCCTGCACCACACCCACCTTCAGCACCCCTGACATTAACTGTGTCCAGGAAACTGGCCATAAAAGTTTGTATTACTATATGATTGACAACTATCTATCTATATCTATATATATTTATATCTATCTATCTATCTATCTATCTATCTATCTATCTATCTATCTATCTATCTATCTATCTATCTATCTATCTATCTATCTATCTATCTATCTATCTATCTATCTACATATATATCTATCTATCTATCTATCTATCTATCTATATATATATATATATCCATTGCAAGAAGAGAACGTTTAATTACTCAGTGCTAACTTATTGTACATTGACATAAGGACGTGAATGGGAACGATGTTCTCCTTGGGCAATTCCATGGTAACAAAAACACATTGACTTGAAGAACAGATGCAGATGCAGAGTTTGGTAACAGAATGACGGCACCAACAGCACCTACCTGTTACCAAACTCTGCATCTGCACTGTTCTTCAAGTCAATGTGTCTTTATAACATTTTCTGTGGAAATTGTTAAAAGTAGTCCCTGTGCATAGAGTTGTATGGTGTGTTAAACTTTGCAATCATTGGTTTTTGTTTGACCTACATTTTAAAGATCTGAGTCTCAGCGTCATTCTGTTACCATGGAATTGCCCCCTTTCACTTTATGGGCACAATAACCCTGATGCGAGGAACAGCTTTGTCGCTTTAATGACAGACGACAACTCATTCAAATAATAATATAATATGCCATTTAGCAGACGCTTTTATCCAAAGCGATTTACAGTCATGCGTGCATACATTTTTTTTTTTGTGTATGGGTGGTCCCGGGGATCGAACCCACTACCTTGGCGTTACAAGCGCCGCGCTCTACCAGCTGAGCTACAGAGGACCACACAAATCAAGTTGACTCGGGGTCTTTCAACAGTTCAAACCCATGTTAGGTCATAAATGTCCAATAAATGAGACAAAGGGGCCACACAGTCACCCCTGAGTTACGAGGAACCCTGTCCGCGTTCCAAATGGTACCC